AGTTCTTGTTTTCCTTAACACCACCAAGTTTTCCCTCTGACTAATTTGGCTATTCAAGTAAAAATTAGTTTAATATGTTTTATTTGTTTTGTTAATTAGGACTACATTAAATTACATAGAAATCAGCTGATTTGAACATTTATTTTTAATTTTGCAATTATGGCTTATAAATGTAACTTTTTGCTAACCTAGTTACTATTTTTTAAATTTCTTTTTAATAATAGTTGACATACAGTGTTAAATTATTTTCTGGTGTACAGTAGAGTAATTCAACATATATACCTTGAAAAATAATCTCTACAGTAAGTCTGGTACCCCCTGACACTGTACATGGTTATACTGATATTAATGACTCTGTTCCCTATGATGTACATTATATCCCCATGATTGATTTTATAACTGGGCTTTTGTAGTTCTTAATCCCTTTTTTCTTTTCTGCCCAGCCTCCTACTCTCTCTGTCTGACAATCATCAGTTTGTTCTCTGTACTTATGAATTTATTTCCTTTTCATTTGTTTTGTTTTTTTAAATTCTACATAAAAGTAAAATCACATGGTATTTGTCTTTTTTGTCCAACTTATTTCACTTAACATAATACTCTCTAGCTCCATCCTTGCCATAATCACAAGATTGTATTCCTTTTTATGGCTAACTAATATTCTATGGAATATAACTTGTTTTTCCACTTGTAAGATAAGGACAAATTAAAGAGAAAAACACAGATAATTTAGATCAACAAAGAACTTGGGCAGGACAATATGTATATTTTTTTCCTTGTAAAAGTGGCAATTAACGTAGTGTTTAACAGTAATAACCATCTGTAGAATAAATTTGTGGGGGGAAAAGAATTTGGAACATAGAGGTTCTTTATGAACACCTTCATAATTGGTTTTGTTGTAGTGGCCAATGGAGGCAGGGCAATGAGGTGATGGAGATCTTGATTTCAATAGCTTATTTGAAATTTGATTCACCTGTCCACTTCACAGCTTAACTGTAGAAAAAAGTCTTTGTATCAACTTCACTATTATTTCCTAGGGAAATAATACAGTTATACTTTTTAAAAAGTACTCTTTTGCTGAGGGACTTCTTATAATTCAAAGGAGATTTTAAAAGTAGCCCAGAAAACTTATTATCCAAAATTGTGTCATGGTAAATGTACATGCATTTAAATTCCTGTAGCTGAGACCTATGCTGCTTACTGACTCTGCCATAAGGATGCTCTGCTCAGGGTCACAGTCTTGTCTGAACAAGAACTCACGGGAGCAGTAGGTCCCTCAAGAAGAAACGAGATCTCCTGATGAAAAAACTCGCTACAATGTTTTTTTTCAAATGGGTCTATTCCATCATAGCTGGAGGAATTTTTTAGACAAAACATTATATTATAAGTCACTTAAGAAAGCCAAAACAGTCTGACCACTGTACTCCTGTCTTAGTGTGGGATTTAGAAGGACTGAGTGACTGCTGGTACTGTGTGGTCCTCAGATTCTGAATACTTCTACCTCGGTGACAATTAGGTGACCCTGGAAAAATCCAGATCCTAAACAGCCATCTTTCCTCTTAAGAAAGATCTTCAGAACACGAAACTTGAGGAGGAAAAGAGAAAGTTTTTAGATGAAATAATTTTAATGGGTATAATTGGTCGACTCTCACTCATGTGAAGAATCTTAAAGTGGAATTGCTATAGGTTTCATTCAATGTAGTGTGTGTGTGTGTGTGTGTGTGTGTGTGTGTGTGTCTGTAGCACATCTCTAAAAATGGCATGCCTTTTCTTTATTTTCTTTGACAATGTCATGGTAAAAAATAGGTTACGTAAACGCAGAACATTTAAATCTACCTGTGAAAACTGGATAAAGCAATCACAGCTATCTCTATTTTAGAAAAATGGATTTCTGTGGAACAGTAGTAGAAGTCAGGTCAAGGTATAATGTATTATATACTTTTAAAATGTTTTAAAATGTATTTTGAGAAAAAAAGTTAGCCACAATAATTATACCTGCTATTTAAAAAACAACAACATGAAACCCCTCACAACTTTCTACTGCCTATCCTTTTATGTAGCAGATAACATTTCAAATGGCTATCTATAGCTTTTATTTTGAAATAAAGCTTTGGGATTACCTAATTGAGTGAAAGAGCATTCAAGTCCTTTTAAGAGCTAGGCACCTATAGACAAATGTAGATTTGATTTGTAAAAAAAAGTTTTTTTTAATTAAAAAAAGTAATAGGAGCAATAAATGAGCTCTTCTAAAGTGATATCAGCACAGCACCCTTGGCCTAGACATCGGCTGTAGGTTATAGGATGAGAGAAAAACACCTGCTTCCATCTACTAGAGGTCAAACCCAGAGAATCACAGCAGCCTTGCGGACGTTCCAGATATATACCTACATGGCCCCCAAACTGAGAGCTTTATCAATTGAACTACACGTGAGTGTGAAATGTCACACATCAGGTAAATGTGTTGTTGGAGATGCTCTGGAATCATTTTTTTCTGTTGTCAGTATTTGGCACAAACAGCATTCCATGTGGCCATATCAACAGATCTGTGTAGATGGCTTTGCAATGTTTAGACTTTCAGATTGGTGGTGTGATCTAAACTGCAGAAAAAAGTTTGGCGTAATTAGAAAAATCAAGGACTTTGAACTTCAGTGTAGAACATCTTGGTCTGACATAGAAAAAGTATGTATCATATACAGCAGGTTTTCAAATAACATCACTTTGTTCAATGTCATTTCATTATAACATTGATGGGGACAAATATTGAATCCTGGCCAGCATCGTTTTCTGTGTGGTATCTGCCATTGTTCCATGTTTGTGTGGGTTTTCTCTGGGGATTCTAGTTTCCCCCTGTATCCCAAAGATATGCACATGAACTGAACTGGTGTGTCTAATTGTCCTAGGCTGCCCTTGACCCTGAACTACAATAAGGGGTTGGAAGGGAATACTCTTACTTGTTTTCATTAATCTTTCTTAAATGTCTGTATAGCTCACATTTCTTTCCATGCTTAGAATTAGAAGGATTTGGTTCTTTATTTAGAAGTTTGTGATGTTTTTGTGAGGAGAAAATATGTCATAGGAACTTACCCTGTGTTTATAGCAGTTAACCTAGCAGTGTTTCCCAAACTTTTGACATATGTGTACCCCTTCTATAATTTTTGTAACGCTGAGTACCCCTAGTACTCATGAGAACGTAGAATTAGGTGCAGCTAAGCACGGTGCAGTGCATATCCCCACCAAACTCCGGTGCAACGCGTACCCCCACCAAACTTCCCGTACCCCTGGGGGTACGAGTACCACTTTTTGGGAAACACTGGCCTATGGCAACATTGGTTCCCTTATAGTCCCTTTCACTTAAATTCTCATTGTCCAAGAACCTATTTACAATGTTAAGAGAGGACTTACTGTACATATATTTAGTGTTTTTATACATAGGCATCAACTATTTGGTATTTCCAAGCCCGGGAATTCTCTACAGATGGCACTCCCTGAAATTGTGAAATCTGGTGATCTGGTTTAGGATAGGAATTATAATTCTTTTGGGGGTTATGGACTCATGCTTGATGAAAGCAACAAATCTTTTTCCTAGAAAAATATTTTTATTCTTCCACTCCTAGCCCTATGCGTGTAAGGATTGTGAATATGTGGACCTTAAGCTAAGACCTCATTTGATGGAATTGGTCTTTGATCACATGTTTGTCTGACTCCATGCTCAGCCTCTTCCCCCACACCATATTCCTTCTGTTTCCACAACTAAGCCATTGCCGAGCTCGTGCTGGCCTACTTTGTCAGCCTCATCTCTTGCTCCTTCTCCCGTGCATCCTGAGTGGAAGTCACACTGCATTACTCACAACAGTGTCACGCTGACCTGTGAACATGCTGTTCCCGCTGCTCCCTGAACATCCCTCATCACCTGCCTCACCACCGCAAGTCTCAGCTCAAAGGTCCCCTTTTTTAAGAAGACTTCCCAGCCCTCTTTCCTGCTATCTCCATCCTCTTAGATCCCCTCCTTTACACTATCATTGTACTCTCTGCATTTTGCTGTCATAATTCCATTTACCAAGCTGCACTGTAATGGATGCCAACTTGTCTACTTTTTCTATTATTTCAAGGGCAGATATATATGTGTGTGTGTGTGTGTGTGTGTGTGTGTGTGAGAGAGAGAGAGAGAGAGAGAGAGAGATTTGGTTGAAGTATAGCTAGTGATTCAAAAAGGTAATTTTTTCTTCCCGGCCTCAGATATAGCCTCTCGTATCACAGTGTGAAGATATATTTTTCTCCTAAAGAAATCGAACACATGCAATATTAATAGAGCCATATGCTAGCCCTCTCTCAGTACCATGGTTCCCACTGATAACACTGAAAAATATGTTCTTGTTTCAAAGGCATAACATGACCGCATTTCTCTGATCATGAATTCATGTTTTACTAGGCATTTGTTTCTTAGTAATACAGTCCTATTTTCTTGATGACTTAAGAGGGGAACATCTTATAAATTAATTTTTTAAATTACAAGTTTCAAAGTAACTTAAAAGCAGTACCAGAATTTAAATATAATAAGAATTCCTATTATCTTTTATATATATATTGATATTATTTTACCAAGTACATAATAAACAGAAACCAGCATTATAGAGATGAATAAAGACTGTTCAACAAGCAAGTACGTAGTTGCGGGCACATCCGCAGTGGGGGATGTGCAAGAGGCAGCTGGTCGATGTTTCTCTCTCATCAACATTTCTAACTCTCTATCCTTCTCAATCCCTCTCTGTGTAAAATTAATAAAATATATAAAAAAAACCAAAACAAAACAAAACAAAATAAAAACAAAATAAAACAAAACAAAAAAAAACAAGCAAGTATGTCTCTACAAAAGAGAATGTAGTAGGAGGGCCGGGGTAGACTGAATTCTTGTTTTTTCCTTTATTGTACAAGACCTCATTTTATCACACGCTGAAAATATTATTGCTACTTAAATGTCTGTTTCTCTCCCCCCCGGTCCCCAGGCCAAATTTACAGATGACTGCAAGTTCAGGGAGCGATTTCAAGAAAACAGCTATAACACCTATGCCTCAGCAATACACAGAACTGAGAACACGGGACGTGAGTGGTACGTGGCCCTGAACAAGAGAGGGAAAGCGAAACGAGGCTGCAGCCCCAGGGTGAAACCCCAGCACATCTCTACCCACTTCCTGCCGAGATTCAAGCAGTCTGAGCAGCCAGAACTCTCTTTCACAGTCACTGTTCCTGAGAAGAAGAAGCCACCTAATCCCGTCAAGCCAAAGGTCCCGGCCCTTTCTGCACCCCGGAAAAGTCCCAACACCGTGAAATACAGACTCAAGTTTCGTTTTGGATAATGTTCACGTTGGCCTTGTGAGAAGCCACAGGCCCCCCTCAGGAGTCTCCATAGGTGTCTTTATGGCGCTGGAGAATCACTTGGACACAGCTTCAGCTCCACTCCACAAAGTCAGGGCATTTGTTTCAGTGGGACTGAGACAAAAATGTTTGCTGGTAGGAACTGAACTGGCATTATGGATACAGGGAGCACACTGCCTCAGTTCAGTAAGACATGAAGCTTTTTGCTTTATGTATAGTGCATACTAGGACTCTGTTTTCAAGAAGTTTAACAGTGTGGACTATGTATTTTTCTGACTTTTACAGATCAACCCAAAAGAACATACATGACATGTGTTTTTGTTTTGTTTTGTTTCCAAAGAATATTTTGATGCAGATAAAATATTTTATTAACTTTTGATTTTTGTGTTTTTTTAAAAAATACCTCTGCATTGAGCATATTTTCTTACTTTTATTGTTTTAATGAATGACACAAACAACCATTTTAATGAATAAGTGTGTTTATAGCCCATATGTAACATGTGAATTTCTTTTTCATTTTCCTTGTTCATTGCACTTTTTATTTTTATTATATATTTTGACCATACCTCAGATAATGTAAGTTTAGTTCTATTGTACATCTTAAAATTTTTAAAATTCTCTTCAGTACACCAAAGACTCAGCTTGAATTTGTGTGTGTGTGGTGTGTGGGTGTGTGTGTGGACTCGTGCGTGTGTGCTTACACAAATTCATGGCACGTGGAAGTGTTCCCCTTTTGTGGCTGGGCTATAATGAGTTAGAAATAAGGACATTTTGATGGAATTAATAGTTGGAGATAAGGAGGAGGATTAGATGTACAAGTCTACTAAGTTTGCAGTATTTATTGAGAACTAATTCTGCCCTGCCTTTATTTCTCCTTTCATCCACTCCCTGCCCTCATTATTGAGCAGCTGGAGGAAAACATTTTATTCTGTCCATCAAGCAGACACTATGAAACTAAAACACCTCTTCTATGGCCCTCTGCCGTCCCCACTGTATAGATCCACGGGGAGCAACCCACTTACCGGAAGCACAGGGAGAGCTGAAAGAGATAGATCTTGTGACAGTTACCCAGTCCAGTCCCATTGTCAAAAACACTCTGATTACTCAGTACAACACCCTTTGAGTTTCCTATCCTCATGGAGACCATTCCAGTGAATAGATTTTCTCTTTTATAAGGAAAATTTCTGATGTATATTTTTTAAAAAAACAGCTGTGTGATATGGGGAACTTCTTTTGGGAATTTGATAAATTGAAAAATGGCATATAATTGTCAAGCCAAATATTAAATGTTGGGCATAAATCAGAAAATTTGGCTTAAGGGAGTTTACATTATTTATTTATTTTTTAGGTAATCATTTTTATGGAGTTCTATGATATACAAGTGTTTATCTTCCGAAATATTGCAATACAAAGGTATAGCTAATGTTTAGAAGAATGTCTTTTATAGAAGGAGCAAGAGTTCATAGGAGGTTTGTGCTTTCTTTGTAAGCATGCTTCTTTTCTTTTAAAGAATACTGATAATCTTTCTAAAAAACAAAGTATACTTTATTTTGGGTGGAAACTTGTCAAAATTGAATTTACTATAATTTAAGCAGCTTGCTTTGTTTTAATAAAAACAAACTATACCCACATGTGCATAATATAAATAATTATATACAAAATCCATCCATCAATTAAAACATCATGCATATACTCTAGTATAGTGTTTTATTATAAAGCCAATAATTTAATTTAACATTCCCTCCATTTAACTCATGATTTAAAAAAATATAAAATGAATTACCAAACTTTATATTAAAATCTCCTGGGTTAAATGAAACAATGGAAATTTGCAAACAAAGATATGTTTGTCTCTTATCCAACTTCGATATCACTTTATATCACAGTATAAAGCTAAAAATAATACTCTAGTTTATTTCAATGTATTGTCAAGAATTGTGCACTGTATATCAAGTTCTTAATACACATAAAAATTAACATTGTAGAGCAGGAGAACAGTAGACAAGATGATATTAATGATGATAAATAACCAAGTAAATTAATGCAAGGCATATATTGTATTAGGCTAATGTTGCTGATAGTTTATGTTAACTAAAAAATAATAGCTTATCTTGTACCCCTAGTTTGATTTAATTAGTAAATGAAGGTTAAAATAAAATAGCCACCACATATATATTATGCAAGTCAGGACTCATTAATTTCCAAATTTAGTGCCAAGCTAAAAATTAAAAAAAAAAAAAACCTTTAAATTATACTTACCTTTAATTTACTGGCCATACACAATTACATTTAATTAAAGCTCACTGAAGCAAAAAATACCTAAATTAATTAATTGAATGAACTCATTATGTACAGAAAACATGTAGAAATATAATTCCTTACTAATACCTAGAACTTTCTAAGGGATCCTTACTTATGTGGTTTTTGATATGTTTTTAAAGTAACTGGACCCATCTAACATCAAACAAAGATATTCATCTAAAAATGTCAATGAATTTTACATTAAAATTTAGGTACCTACTTTGCCTAAAAGATAAATGAGAGACACTTTCACACTTGATGTTTCAATTTAATTATATTTATATTTAAGTTATGATATTGTTTATTTGGAACACCAGTAGAGGCAAGTAAGATTTCTAATAAGATATATAACACTGTGGTTTTTATATCACAAAATATACAATCACTTCCTTCTACTTATTTGAGAGTGTGGATATATAAAACTAACTTTGTTCTTTTAGCTGAGTTTTAGAGGCCTAGCAGTTCAAAATCATGTGACAATAGAGGATCCTAACAAAAGTTATTTCCAGATTTAATAATTATATCATCTTAGATGCATTTCTTTCATACGATTGAAAATAAAACCATAAATCTGATTGATACATTTCTATAAAACTGATCTTGAAATAAAAACCTGAACAATTTTCTTACTTTAACATTATTTTAGTCTTCCAAAGGAGACAGTAACTAAGCTATGACTTCCCACATATTCAATAACAAAATGAAAATATTGAATTAAGCCAAAACTTGAATTCTGGCCCCATGTTTTCATCTGTAGAAAGCTCCACAGTAAATTTGAAAAATAAAAGCAATATTATAGAAATGGCTGTAATGGGAAATAAACAAAAATAACTTGTCAAAGGAATTCTCCTTTAAGATTTACTTTATTGCTACACTTAAATTTTAATAATGTAAAGACAATTTTAAGCCAATTGATCTTTTAAAATCTTTGAAAGAAATTTTTAGATAAATGAACATGTGCCATGTTTTCTTTTTTTAGAAGTCAATCCAATTGCAATGACCAGTGTTTGAAATAAGATTATCAGATGGTTAGGTGTCAAAGAAGTTACCTCCTACATCTTATTCTCTGGGAGGAAAGGGAGGAGAACCCAGCCTGAGCTGAGTCAGTGGGGGCATTTTTACATCTAAGAATCATATACAACACTCAGACATACCATCAGACAATTGAGCTACAAATCATCCATCAGTATTTCAGCAATTTTTTGTAATAAAATATTAGATATCAAGAGTCTTTACTTTTTATTTTATTGTGCTGTGTCCTGACTCTGCCATATAATTATCACAAGTCACTTTTTAGGTCTTGTTTTGTCCTTCCCCATATGACCTCCAATGTCAATTCCAGCTTTGTCATCAATGACAGCATGGGTTATGAGTCTCCAAATGTTGAGGTATCCAAAAAAAGACATTATTTGTCTTCAGGTGAAACTGGATAACCACATGAAAAAAATTGTCAACGAAGCAATAAATATATTTGTAAAGCCTTGTCTTAGATTGAAAAAATTAGGTGAGTTTGAGATTATATCAAAAGATTTAAAAACTGAGGCCCAAATCCAGGCTTAGCATTTTATGAGGGACTTAATATAGTTGAATTAATCTGGAGGGGAATGGTCAGAGTAATATTATTATTGATAACAGATCTAGGATTTTAGTTAAACATGAAATTTTTTACCATCTCTGTTTTGACTGAGATCCTACTCTCTCCACAAGCCTCATAGAAATTCATGAAGAAATATCAGTAATCTCATCTTGACACACTCCAAATAAGGATAGCTATAACATAACTTTCCACCACCATTTCCTTACCTTTCCAATAATTCAGTATTTTTTGGAGTTCTTGTTCTGCACAAGGCACTCAGCTAGTGAAACATTCCTTTATTCGGAGTAACATGTTCACCCCATTCTTTGTGCGTGTCAATAATGCACTCTCAGATTTTGAAATTCCAGAGGAAATATAGCTATCCTCATCGCACATTGCCCAAACCAGGCTCAAGCTAATAATATGTGTCTTAACTGGTATGGTTCAGTGGATAGAGCATTGGCCTGCAACTGAAAGGTCTCAGGTTCAATTCCGGTCAAGCGCATGTACCTTGGTTGCGGGCACATACCCAGAAGAGCATATCAGCTCTTCGATGATAGTAATTTTGAATGTATTCCTCTGACTTAAACACTTAGTAGAGGTATTGGATATGCTCCTAATTCACAGAACTGGGTATGTAATTATATTTATAGGTCCCTAGGATATTTTAGGTGCTCCAAAATGCTTATAGGATGGCTATTGATGCTGAATAAAATTCATTTGAAGATGGTAATTAAGATTAAGAGAATTTCATGTAAGGTATGAAGTGGCTCCTACAACAAGAATAAGAACACTAGGTAACCTTGCCACCGTATTTGGACTTCTCAAATCCTGAGTCCAAACTAAAAATTTCAGGCACTCATATTTTTGCAAGCTGCATTTACGTATCAATAAATTAGTCCTCTTATGAAACTTCAATTTCATTTTCAATCTTAAAAATAGGTGACTATGCAAAATCCTGATGATTTTGTCATTTGTAAGCCGTGGGATGTCGGTAGATCTGAATGGGAAAGGGAAGACATTTCTTTTTGGTGATATTTTTCTAGATGTGTTCTTTCCTTTTCTTCAGATAAACTCTCTCAGGGAAGATGGCCCTTTTCTGTACCCTACAGAGAGATTAGTGAATGCATAATCACACCATAACAGGTCCGGTTCCAAGGTGTTTCTCATTAAATTCTCTGTCATTCCCTCTGTGGGAAACTGGGAAACTTATCAGATTTTCATTTAGGGAGGTGAATTTCTGCTGAGGAGGCAACACAATGGCTTTTACTCTCCGAAGCGCAATTACAGCTGCTTTCCCAACAGCGCTTCCTTCTACCACAGGGCTCTCCCTGTGGGATGTATGTGTTCCATCACCTGACACAGCATATATATTCACACTTCTTAACGTTCACTAGTTGCCATACATGCTCCTCAATAGAGAGACCCTGGGAGTAAGCAGGATTGATAATTGTACTAGGATATGAAACATACCAGAAGAATATACAATAGAAAGAACTCCCTCACAGTCACCATGCCAATGGAGCGTGGGACGGAATGGGTTTCAATTTTACAAAACAAAAAGCTGCATGAAAGTTGTAAGGTCTCAGTCTTTTTTTTTTTTTTTCCTTTTTGCATAAGTGTGCATTACAAAGGAGTAAAATGTTTTTGATTTAAGTAATGAAAGAATAAGTCATCACATTGCCAACTATAAATCCCCATGGAGGCCTGCAGTTCTTGCAAATTATGATTAGGGGGGAAAGTCATGCCCGTTTATGTTGCTACCTAGGTTGTATCACTGGGCAATAAAACTGGGACAGCCTGAGAGAGAGAGTTTGTTTTCACCTTAGAAATCATGTTGCTTAAGAGCCTCAGCTTTTACCAATGATGAGCAAGAGGCCAGAGGAGAAAAAGACACAAATTCCAGCTTGCTGGCACAGAGCACAAACCACAAGATCTCTCTCCGAGTCAAGGGAATTTAATGTTTAATGATTCAACACAGTGTAGCACATTCCAAGGAGCCTACACAAACAGAAAGAATTATGATTTCTTGGTTGCTAATAATTTATGGCAGAAATCTCTAATAAATTTCCAATAAAAACATGTAGTGTTTACTTACCCCTTACAGTATAGTGGTGCTGTGCTGGGTCCTGGGAATGGTCATACACATGGCACCTGTTTGAGGGAAAATTTACATTCTTGCTTATAGTATCAGAGATGTGGGTCATATCTCTTGAGTGTTATATCCAATTCTCAGTTAAAATGACACTTAATCTTGCCAAAGGAATTTAATGTCAGGATAGTATTTGTAGCAATAGACCCAAAAGCTTAAATTAGGTTACATTATATACTATGGAAGTGCTTCACAAATTCCTTTGGTGCTCCATTTGGGAAGTTATGGCATGCTTCCCATTGGTTGACCAAATGCAAAATTATTCTAGCCTCATTAAAAGATAATTAGAGGCCCTATAGAACATAGAAAAAAAAGGAGGTGGGGGAAGTAGGCTATTCTAGGGAGACTCCAAATTCTGTTAACCAATACTCACTTGATAGCTGGGATTGGAAGATCAATGGCCATCTAATTTCAGAGTTGCTCAGAAATGAAAACAAAACAAAACAAAACAAAACTGATGTGTGCTTCTCTGTCCGATTTATTTCTCAAGACAAATATGTCTACACAGGATAGAAAGAAGTGTTTGAAATGAAAATCAAGATGTGAATTTAGCTCTTTTCCTACCTGCTTGCAGAACGCTGTAATGTTGTTAACAATTTAGCTCTTTAAAAATAAAACAAAATAAAACACAACCTCCCACTGTTGGTCTGAAACAAAGGCCACTATCAGACTCCTTTGAGAACAGCTGCTGCTTTTTGGAGCTGCTAGGATTAGTGCAAACACACCTCCCCCAGGAGATTGGAGGGGTTTGGCAAATGTTGCTGTGTCTACCTTGGGTGTTACAGAGGCACACTCACCATAGTTTCAGCCAGAGTTCCTGTAACATTGGCCCGAAGTCAATAAATATTGCATGTTTTTTGCCCCAGGGTGTGCTCAGAGGACCACCCTGCAAGTGTCTGCCTCTGTAGTCACAGCTTCGCTCTGTGGGCGTAAAGGTGGGTATGGAGCCAGAGGCAGGATGTGCAGGCAGGATCCGATGCGGTTAACATTGGGATCACTGGTCTGGCTGTAGGGGAACTGGAGATTTCTTCATGTCAACACTCATTCTGGAAGGAGAGGCATGTCCACCAGGGGATTATCATCAAGCATCAGCATGACTCACTCACGGGTTAGTGGAAACATGCATAAGAGGTGAGGTTGCAGGTTAAGAGAGAACTAGAGGCTTCTTGTACTTCTCCCAGGCTTGGGCAAAGGGAGGGAACTTCTAAGTTTCCAAATGGCAGGGACCCAAGGGTAAATGGGTCCATGTCTCATTAACTCTTTAAAACATGTCAAGACTCGTACATCAAAACAATAATATCAATGAACTGAATGATACCGGGTTTGATCAATCTTGTAGTTGCCTAATAAAGAGACTCAAAGACCAGATGAGGTAGAACCAGTTTTGGATCCCAAAGAAAATGAAAGGAAAAGTGTAAATGAGGTCTTACACAGATTTTGGGGCCTAAAGTCAGCTTTGCTCCTCTGCAGTGAAGGTTGGGTCTTGCTGTTGTAAATTATAACTTAGATGGCTGGCTTATTTATTTTCTACCTGTGTGTTTTCCACAGACATTGGTTGAGTGACTACTGTATGCTATGCCTAATACAGTACTAAATAATGGGTACACAGAGGTAAATAAGACATGGTTTCTTCCCTCAAGAAGTTTCTAGTCTAGATGGGAAGATGAACAATTAAATAAATAAGCCCCACCCTGGCCAGTATGGCTAGGTTGGTTGGGCATTGTCCTGTGCACCAGGGGATTGTTAATTGGTTCCCATCAGGGCACATGCCAGGATAGTAGGCATCATCCCAGGTCAGGGGCATGCAGGAGGCAGCCAATCAATGTTTTACTCTCACATCAATGTTCCTCTCTTCCTTTTTCCCTCCCTGTCTTTCTAAAAATAAATTTTAAAAATCTTAAAAAAGAAAAGGTATTATGGTCAGTAAAAACTAAGGAGTACTCTGGACTGCAAAGGAAAACACAGAAGGAAACAAGAAAAGTATCTAGAAAGATCTCTTTCCACATTTTGGAGGAACGTATTTCAACATTCTATGGGCATAAAGACCTTTATGCTCACAAGCAATGCCAGAGACATAAATTTCAGTGGCTATTTAACCCTAAACTATTATTTTCCCGAAGTGTAATCTCTAGGCATTCATTCTTCACTCTGCCATACAAGAAATTAGCTGTTATATTTATTACATCATGTGCATGCACTGTATTTTTCTAAAATTATATAGGAAAGTTAATCAGTTTGTGACTTATTGCCAAGATATTGAAAATCTCTTAAAATTAAAAGCTGATCACGCCCTCCTTCTTGAAATTATTATTCAAAGTTCCAACTAGTCCTGTTCTTCCTGGCAGCACAGTGGCAGCTCTCTCCCCATCTCTTTGCTGAACTCCTATCTAACCTCTAAATGGTGCAGGGCCCCAGGGCTTCGTTTCTGGCTCTTT